TTATCGTGCTGACAGCTTGCTGTGCTAGTTAAACATTCTCTTGTCCACAGACTTCAGACAGAACAGAAAGCAGCTGTAAGGCAGAGACTTTGACTGTCATATGGGTGTCAGCATATGGCCTGTAGCAGGGAGAAAGGTACGCTATCTACAATACACAACTGACTCGTTTGCAGTGCGGCTTGTCTGTAGTTCTGCCAGAAGGGTTGACGTAAAGCGATGGAGGCCGCTGTGTGGGTGGATGTTGGTGTGTGAACCTGGGACATGCAGGCACCGGCAGGCAGCACAACAAAGGCAAAGCTGCAGTAAACCTCACTGTTTTATCAGTTCAGTCCAAGGGTTCAGAGGCTGCCTGCAGGCGGGCTGAAAAACTGATTTGTTGTTGTTGCTTTACTGGCAGAACACAAAACTTGGCTGATAAAATTATTTACAGTATTGATGAAATTCACAAAGATATATTCCAGACAGAAGATCACTGCAGTGTTTTTGCATGTTTTAATGCATTTACCACACATTCTTTGCCAAACAATTTATAAAGCATACCACAGAGTTGTGTTCTCCTATCCTCCAGTTATCAATTGTTCTCTTTTGATTTTCAGTCCACAAATCCTACTATCCAAGACTTGTCATTTAATTCCAAACTTTAAGCCATCACAAATCAAAATGATGTAGATTCAGACCAAAAACTGTCCCACATTGAAAAAAAAAAAACACTCCATCCAAGAAGTCCAGTTGGACTAACAGATTAATGCCTTTAAAGGCTAATTAGACAACACATTCTCACTCCGACCTCGTCACATATCGACGTTTGGTCACAGACTTTCCACGTCAACATATGACTCACAAGGTTCCCCTAGGTGTATTGGTTGTTGACATCCTGGGTGCTGCGTCCAGCCTGTTACATGCATTGTTTGTTTTCAAAATACACTTCCATTTTTACTTTAACAACAAACGCACAGGGTTACATTTAGGCAACAATAGCACATGGTTGGGTTAAGGAAAAAAGAGTTGGGTTTAGCTTTACAGGAAGCAAACACTGGCCTCCTAGGTGAAAGTCGGTGATTGTTGGACCCATCCGCCATCCCTCCCACCCACGCTATTCAGACTTCAGCCACCTTAACTTTCTTTGTTGTCCCCCGGCATTTCCCCCTGTCATCACTGGATGCCATTAAACAGTAGGTTCATTTGAGATGAGCCAGGCCTGCGCAGATTTGATTACCAGCAATAGCTGCACACTGCATGCCAGTAAGATTTGTGTCTGACTTCATCCCAACTTGGTCTGATGTTACACAAAATTGGACAACAATATTCTTATGAGATAGAGTCAGGCGCTGCAGTTGCCCTCCACCAACAGCAAGAACCAGGGCATGATGGGAAAAGCCTGGCTCTCACCTGATCTAACAGCTGATTTAGATGTTGACTCAACCACATGAAGTTTTCTATGTCGAATTTCAGCAATTAAGATGCTATTTGTCAGATTAAAAGGTTTATTCTGTTAACAGAATACACGTTACTGATAGTGACGTCTACATTCATCACAAACTATTGTACTATTATATATTAACACTGGACTATTTTTATTACTGAAGTATTTAGCAACACAGAGATCTGCAGACTGTACAGACTGAAGACTGCTGGAAACTGTCAGGAAACTGTTTGACTCCACTGCAGCTTTTTGTCAATGCCTCTTGCTGCAGCCGCCTTATCTCGTCCACTTTCCAAGCAAGGCCCAGTTCATCTCAAACAAGCTTAATAATGGCAACAGGCCACGTATCATGCCAACATAAAAGGACAGTTTTTCTTTTGTCACACCGGTACCAGCAGGGTTTTCTCACTCTCGCTTATCGTTAATGTGTACTACAGTGATTCTGCTGTTCTCTGATACTAACCAAGAAAGGAAAAGTCACCACTATCATGCTATCACCCTGTTATAGTTGCCTTACAATTAAAATTTCAATTTATGCCCTCAATATCATTTTTTTCCTGTGGTATTAACAATGATATCAGATATCAGTCTGTCAAGGCATTGTTTCAAAGTTAGAGATTCCAGTATTGTGACAACACTAGGGGTCAGGGAAAAAATCAGCATAGTGTCACAAATTGTGCATTCATGGTGATATTGTATCGATACGCAGATGCAAAGTATCAATCTTTTATGATATACATTATTCATTTTTGCAAATACACATTTTAATACAACTTTTGGTATTAGCATAAAAAATCAATTGCTTTTTCAGTCCACTAGATGGTGCTGATGTTTTTTCCTGGTGAGGTCCGCAGAGTTCAAAGATGGTGGCACCAGAGAAAGAAATCAGTAATGGGCAGTGGGGGTTTAAGGCCCTATCCCATTTCTACCCCTTAAATCTTCAACTTGGTATTGAGTGCCCTCATTTGCGAGATAATCCTTGATGAGGGAAGTGAGAAATTTCAGGGTAGAGATCTTTCCCTAAGAAATAACACACCACTTCATGCAAATCAGCGTGGTCGACGTGCAGACATATGTCACGCATAGTAGCGACGCAAGATACCGTTAGTCATTCAGGTTGTGTGCTATGTTTATTCTGTTTATTCTTCTCCTTCTGATGAATCAACGGAGAAGAAATGCTGAAAACAGGAGGCACCTACGACATCTTCTAGTTCAGATTGATTTTGTTTTGGTAAGTCGATTAGTTTAAATATTTTGCTGATGAGTTTACGCTAGTTTGTATAGCCTATATTCCGATTGTACAGTAACAAATTGTTTTCCAAAACTTGCCGAAGTTGCTGACTTCGCAAGGTGTTCTGGGAAATTTCATCTTCCACTTCGTTGAAAGTGTGGGTCAGGGCTCCCTTGAAATCTAGGTTGGATTTTAAGTGTTGGAAACCACTTCCACTACCTCAATTCTGTTTTGGGACACCAGTAGCCTAAACGTGAACGCGCACAACCAAGTGCAAGTGGGTATTTCTAGGGGAAGTGTGGGTATTGGGATAGGCCCTAAATCAAATATTTGGACTTATGTCGGATTTTCAAACACAGAGGAAAGAAGGACTTGGATATGACACGTGATTTGCAAGCAGTGTCATATGAGAATAAAATACTCAACATCTGGAATACGACAAACACAAGGGCTCACCTCACACACAACCATCCAGAGATAGTGTTAGCCGCTGATGGCCAAGCTAACGCTTAACCTGCTCCACCAAAAAATCAATCAACACTGGACACATTTAGCTTGACAAAACTACCATCCAGCTCTGAGAGAGCTGAGAAAATAACACAGTCCATCACCTACTTCATGTGCAAAGACAGCGTTTTCAAAGAAGGCTTTTGTTACATGCTAAAAACACTGGAACCCAGGTATGTGACCCCATCCCCAAGTATGTTCACCAACTCAGCCATGCCCAAGCTCAACAGAGAAGTGAAGCATAAAGCTGAGGAATCTTTGAGCACAGCAGGAAGGGTGGCATTAACTAGTGATTCCTTTACTTTAAGGTCTGTGGATTCATATGTGACTATAACCACACATTATCTCACAGAGGACTGGCAACTGATGTCTCAGGTTCTCCAAACTAGAGCAGTGCACGAAAGTCACCCTGGAGCAAACATTGCCCACCTCCTGCAAAATGCAGCACAAGAATGGGGGATTGTGATTGTAACAGATGACGCTTCTAACATGAGTGTTGCCATTCAGTTGGCAGGATAGCTGCATGTTAAGTGTTTCACTCTCGCGCTTAATCTGGCCTCGCAGAGGACGTTAAATCTGCCAACAGATCAGTTTGTCAGGTGTATGCAGCATTCCTGACAGGTTTTATGACGGTGTTGTTCAGTCTGTCTGCTTTGCATCACATTTTGCTGCAATAAGAATAATTCAAGAAAGATGAACAGATGGTGATGCTCTATTCCGGCTGACTGTATAATAATAACACTATTGGATTCATGTTTATATGCATGTGGTGTGCTGTCATTTCTCTTTACTTGTATGAGTTTGTGGTTGTTAATGATTAAAGGGAAATTCTGGTTTATTTCAACCTGTGTATTTCCCATAAATTTTCCCATGGTGACTCTGTTGCTCATGCTAACACTGTACTGGCTGCCTCTGTTAACTCCCTGTGTAGTCATCGCTGACTGTAATGATCCAGATCCCTATGCAGTCACACTCAGGGACACTCATGTAGAAATCATGTATATTTTCAAAGTTAGCATGACCAATAGTGTCACAGCGATTCAGTGTACATGCACGTGAAGTGAGCAGTTTATTTACTTGCAGTAGCTTTTGAAGCCGCCGCATGAAGCTGATAAGTTTCAGCGAGAGTTTATCGTAAGAGTTTGGTCAATGGAGAATATACTAAATATGCTAACAGTTCATTCTTGGAACACACCATTCTTTCCAGGAAATGAAAATAAATCTAAAATTTACATTTTGCCGCTCTTCACCTCTCTTCTTTTGGCTTTTACTTCTTTTTTTCCCTCGTTGGCACATAAAAATGGAGACGTGATCTATGCAGGAGAAAGTTCACGTTCCCTGCATCTCTCCTCGCCCTTCCTGGTGGTACTTCTAACTGCCAACTGCCTTTCCCTGTACTATCAATCAGGCCTGTTACTTTAGAGCTGATAAACACTGAGGCCTTCAAGCTGTCAGTGGAATTATTTAAGTATTCCTGCGGCCAGCACTGAGAGTAAACATTTTCTTTGACTGATAACACAAACATTTTGGAGATATCCCTGAACACACACATACACCAGCAGCAACCAGAGAGGAAGCTCTGAATGTATTCAGGCCACATAATGAAAGTTAATAACAAGCACAAAGGAGTGAGACAGTCATTTAAATATGTATTTAACCCACTGGGAGACCAAATGCTTTTGAATGATGAAAAACAAGTGTTTCTTTTTAGGTTTCAACAACTTGCACAACTTTTTATTCACAGCATCTTGTGTTGTGTGTTGTGTACAACATGTGTTCCTGTATCCAGCATGCCAGCAGCAGACACTAGCTCAGATCTTAAGAAAACCTTGGACTCACCCATTTCCTGGGTCGCCCCCTGGGTCTTTTCTCCCCGGTTGCCTCGGCTTTCTGTGAAGATAAGGAGCAATACAATACAATCAGTCTTGATCCTGACTATCACTTCATGACATACACAAAATCAACATTTTACATTAAACACCTGATCAGCCAAGAAATTTACTCTGGCACACATTTTAAGGTATTAATGCACCAGTGCATTGCCCAGGTTTTTTGTTTAGGGAGCATTAGAACAGTAATAGAACAAAAATACATTTGTGCTACTGCTTTTCAAGAATTAAGTTAGAGGAACTTTAGGAAAACAAATATTAGAACAAATGCAAAACAAAGATGTTTCAAGATGTCAGAGTTAATTTGTGGAATAGTTTTGAAATGGAAATGAAAATGTGTACAACACATATAGATTTAGAAAATATATGTTAAGAAATAACATGATGAACAAATATAAAACCAAGTTATGAATGCCACGCCAGTATGTGTTCCGTAAAAATTCAATGCAAAACCTTGTCCCAACTGAATGCCCAGTCCCTTTTCCTAGCCTGCTTGGCTAGACAGTTTGACAAATAAATGGCTGTCTCAATTAGACACCTGGTTTGACACCTGGGTTGATAAAAAAAAAGCTTCTGCGGTTTCACACCATCATTTTTCCCTTTTTTCTCTGTGTGGTAACAACCATAGAGGAAAAATCAAAAACCCTGGGGTGTTGTTGTCATATGCCTGGTTCACACTACACGATATCAGCCCGATTATAGGCCACAATCACACAATGTGACATAGTGACTGTCAGAATGGACACAAATGTTGTGTAGTACGAACCAGGCTTAACACCCCAGTAAGAAACAAAAGCATATAATTGGCTGATGCTTCCTTGTGTCATTGGAGCACTGAAAAAATTGAGGCCATTTCAGTCTAATTTCCATAGCTTTGTCTACAGTTTCTATCAGTTATGATAACATTATGCACACCAAATAAATTGCTGAGATCTGAAAACACAGTGAGATCACAAAGTCCCACAATTCCAGAACAGAAAATCAGACAGATTGGAAATAAAGCAACAGTTTATCCAGATTATCTAAACCACCGAGTCAAACTGAATATGAGTGCAAAAGAAATGTCACAAATCATTTCTTATTTCACAGGATAATGTGTACACAACTACAGTACTGTAGGTTAAAGTTGAAGCCGTGTGTCTATAAACTGTGATCAATGTTTACAACAGACAGTTGGGGTAAGAAAAAAAAATTTACTTTTTTTTTTTGATAAACTATCCTTTAGGTATTTATATTAAGCATTTAATAAATACTCACTAGAGCACCAAAAGTGTATTTACCAATCCCTGTTTATAGTCCCCAACAAATGCACCTCCTCCTGTTTGTGTTATGCTGTATTTTGTCCAGTAAAAAACACCAGTATCAGCTGTTCTAATTAATTATTGACCCTTTTTTAGACCAAACAATAGATATGTGAGCTAATACAAAAAAAAAAAAACTTGGAAAAAAATGTACCCACATTACCATGGACATGGCCCAAGTTAGAAAAGTGTGTATGTTTACAGAGCATTCCCTTACTATGAAATGAATACCTGGAATGTCCCTGTGTGTTTAGCTTGAGGGGAGAGAATTATCTTTCTTCCTTAGATAACAGAATGATTTGACGTTTGTGGGAACTGGGAGAGATTGGACCCTGCAGACTGCCCAGCGCAGTCAGAAAGCCAAGCTCTGCAGTCATCCACAATTAACAAGACCAGACCTGTGTCAATAATTCATTGAATATATCCACGCTTCCTGGCTCTGGCTGGCAGGGACTCAGGTGAAATCTTAGTCAAATTGCTGAGCTGCGATGAATTTTGCAGACAATGACCAGCAAGTATCGGTGGTGGTGTTGGGGCATGTGTGAGGCTTTCTGCAGCTATTTGGCTCAGTAAACAACACCAGCTCCTTTGTCATCCTGACACTGAGTACAAGCCACCCAGCCTGGTCACATGCCAGCAGGTGGAGTGTTTCAACACATCACCTGCTGGATCCCAGAGTAACAAAAAAACACAAAAGTAAGACCTCTCAGACCAGGGATATTCAACTTGCTTTGCGTCTCTAAGATTTGAGGACATTCAAGGCTCAGCCCAGACCTTTGTTGGGAGTCAGGGGGATTTTGCCGTGACACTTGTTTTTGATGAACAACTAATTTTATACCTTTTTTAATGCACTCTGGCATTTAATTTACATTTGGAGTATAAAAAAATCCCTTGTTAATTGTGAATCAGATTATTCTCCCTGTTAATCAGAAGGCGGGCCACCCAGCCAGATTTGGCCAGCAGGCCATAAGTTGAGTATCACTGTCATAAGGCCCAGACGCACCAAACAGACATCTAAGAACCAGTGGCAACAAAGGCTAACTGTCACATCCCCTCATGTCACCTGTGTCCCAGCCAAAAAGTTGCACTTGAACATACAACAAAGACTGCAGCCAACAGCGACTAGCATGTACATTCTGCAACTGCGTAAGAAGAAATAACTCTCCACACCAGCAGGTGGCAGTAGTTCTTATTTGTCATTCAAAATAAGAAAACAGAAGTCTAACGGCAAATTCAAGACGCCGGTGAGCCAATTAGTACATTAACAACACAACACAAAGTTGCAAGAACAAATTATATTTACCGTGCGCTAGCAAAAAACAACACAAACAATTATGAACTGTTTCTGCTAAAGAGCTCAATGGCTAAAAAATAATATCACCTTGGATTACAAATTTGTTTCAGTCTCAGGCCCTTGACCTTAGTCCTTTCCTGTCCTCACTTCTGTTTCTCTTCTCATGCACTGAGCTGAACTGCCAATCAGAGTAATTTCTCTCACTGACAGGCTCAGCCAGCTACACTATAAATTTTGCATGCTGAATCGGTCGGACTAGTGCCAACAGTGCAGGACACACCACAAACACTAGGGCAACAGATGCTCACCCAACTGTTGGCTTGGTATGTCAAGGCCCTTAGACTATGACCACACTAATGGCCAGACATACTTGGCCATCCACCCAAAGTAGTGGCTTACATACAACTATAATTGTTAACCTTTCACGGGGGTGGTAGAGGACCCTCTGAGAGCTGAAACATTTAGAGGCCAACTTTCTTTTGCCTGCAACTGTTTGGGATTACCAGTATTGGGTAGTATGTGTTACTCTGTAAAGCATAACTGTAATCATTTTCTGTAACCTGTTAGGGGTCGCAGGGAAGCTGGAGCCTATCCTGGCTGACATTGGGTGAGAGGTGGGGCACACCCTGAACAGGTCACCAGACTATCACAGGGCTGACACACAGAGAAAGACAACCACTCAAGCTCACATTCACACCTACGGCCAATTTAGAGTCAACAAGTAACCTTGCCTGCATGTCTTTGGACTGTGGGAGGAAGCCGGAGTACCCAGAGAAAACCCGTGCTGACACGGGGAGAACATGCAAACTCTGCACAGAATGGCTCCCCCACCCTCGGGTTCGAACCAGGAACCCTCTTGCTGTGAGGCCACTGTGCCGCCACTGTAATGATATTGTACTGTACTGTAATGATTATTAATCATAGCGTATGGCAATACAATTAAAAATTCAGCAATATGGGTCCTATTGATGACAAATTATTCTAATTCCCAGGGTGTCAAAAACCGACCCTTTGTCATGCCCCTCGGCCCTTTATCATCTTTATGAGAACTTCAATGTAAACACATCCATGTCAATACTTGACACTGAGAGCAAATCATGTAGCATTAAGAGCAAGAAAATACGCATAGGGTGGGAATGAGGACTTCACCCAGGGGACCACTGTTTGTGTTCCAAGTGAAACCAAAAGTCACCGATGTTTATACGTAACAATATGGAATTTATATACAGTCATCGCACATGATTGTGTATTTAGGTCACGTTATGTAAATACGTAACAAGAGTACTTAATTGTACCCAAAACATGATCTTTTTTTTTAAACCTAACCAAGTAGTTTTATTGGCTAAACCTAACAGCAACCGTTTCACAACATTAACAACGTGGTACAATGTGTTTCGGCCAATGGCTCTAAAAATAATGGACTTAGCTACCATGACGTCACCCACTGGTCTGTGGACTCCCGTTTTGAAGCCTTGAGTTCAGCTTTTCAGCATCTGAGGCTGTGAACATGTTTATTTCTGAAGTTAGCCATTTTAACCAGGGGGTCTATGGGGCTTCTGAAGCCAGCCTCAAGAAGCCATTCAAATAATTAATGTTTTTGGCACTTCAATGTTGGCTCCATTTTCAGCTGTGGAGGTTGCTGCTTAGTTTCAGCTGTGCATTACATAGATACGCTAAAGGGTGCTTTGTGTGTCACTATGAGACGCAGAGAGGCGTGACAAAGCGTCAACATTTGACGACATGGGAATGAGAATAGGTTGTTAAAGCTCCGTTCCAAACATTCAGCTTGTTTACTGTCTTGCTGGTTGTTTGGCTGGATGATCAGTATCAATTTTGTCTCTGCACTGACCCGATCAGTGGACAGACTGATCCAGGATACGTAAGCTCAATGAAGACAGTTGAGAAAGGTGACAACCCTCCTCAAAAAGAGATTCGGCATGTGGGTAGGGTGACATTGGGGCTGATGGAGGGCACCTTTGATTTGAGTAATTACTGCTATTGTAGAGTACAAAGTAAACTTGTGTCATTACTTTGTCAATGAATTTTAAGAAATGAGAATGAGTGAGTACATTTTTTAACCTTCACTTAGCCAGTCACACAAAGTATACTATATCTAATCAGGTGTTTTAATAGTGCGTGAGTACAATTTACTTTACTTCTACTCTTCTACATTCCATGCCTTTGTACATGAGGGTAGCATTACACAATTCAATTGCTTACTGACTACTATTACTTCACACAGAATAAGAGTGTTTTTCTTTTGCTCTGACTGTTCCGTGAGGATGATCTGTCAGAAACCAATAATGAAGCAAAAGTGTATTAAGCTACGACACAGTGATGATGTCTTGTCATGGGATGTTCTAATGCTCTGCTAATGCAGGTCTCTATCATGACATATCACATTGC